AAAAATAAAATTTAGAGCCACTCAGAATATTCAGTTGTGATAGTCAGATGCTTTCCCATCCTTACTCAAGCTGCAGGAGGATAGAGACATTTAACTCCTTGGTAGGTAATGCTGTCATTGTCTCTCCTTCACTTCTGCAGTCTGTCCCCCAGTCACCCATGTGACAAGATGTCTAGGTCTCTTTTTGTAACCTAGGCCTTTCAGAGCATCTTTAAAACTTGTCTCAGAGACAAGATGGAAATGGGGTCTTGGTGGATCACTCCTCTCTTCCAAACTGAGAAAAATCAGACAGGGAAGCATAGTGCTCTGGGCAGCAGTGGTACACAGGGCACTGAAGCAAAAAGATTTTAGGAGTGGACCTGTAGAAAAAGCAACAAGAAGAGGCAGCTTAACCAGACTCCTGGCTTGTTTGTGGAAGACAGGAGAGAGGAACAGTGTGATTTTAAAACTGTTCTTTTGCACCTCAAATGCTTTGCTGTGTAGCACAGATTTCCTCTCCCAGATCTTGCTTTTTAAAAGCTTTCTAAACTTTGGGAAACAACAGTGAAGCCCATCCAGAGGAACTCCTGCCAATGAGAACCCAAGGCCATTAAAAATCTGTCTTTAGTAAGCATTTAGGGTTTTCTGGCTCAACTTCCTATTATGAGAGGGACCATGGGTCTCTTTTCTGTCACCAATGGACTTGTGTCAGTCTGGGCAACCACTGCATCACCTACAAGATTAGCTGGGATGTCAATGATATTGGGGAACTTCTGAGGATCTAACTTCCTAGAGTTTCCTCCAACATGGAGCATCTTGCTTTGTCTCTGCCATTGCAGCAGAGCAAGAGTGCAGTTGATCTTACTGAGCGTGGCTTTTCTACCTTATCCTTGCTATATGATGGTCTTGGGCCAGGGACTCTTGGATGGAGCTGTGGATGTGTGTGTGTACTCAGTGGAATCTGTGGACACAGAGAAAGAGGAACCTTTGAACATCCCTATTTGAAGCACTTGCTGCTCTTTCCTTCCTTCTCCAGGATCTCTACTGAGTTTCTCAGTGCACTTCCCCATACCCGTCTGCACAGCACACATTTGTAGCTTCACAATGTTGTTTTGATTTTTCCTGTTACCCCTATCTCAGTACTGGTCTCTGTAAAAGAAACTACCCTGTAGCTTGGAATAGCAGAGATGCAAGAAAATAAATATTGAACAGTGAGTATTCCCAACTCTGTGAAAATCAAGGCTGCATTCCCTTCTCTCTCAAGAGCTGTTCTCAAATAATTGGAAGTGTCATGTTTTTAAGTTTAAAATCCCAACTCAAGCCTCTCATTAGCAACCATAAAATGATTGATACAAGGTGCTACAGATGTTTTGTAAAAACTGAAGTTTGGATGCTGAGAAAAAGATGGTGAGTAGGAATACAGAGCAACTGTGAGAAAAGATACATTTTTAATCCTTATGGATAAAAGCCAATAGTTGCAGAAAATAAGGTTGTTCCTACATGAAATTTGGGAAAGCGTGTGGGAACCATGGTTTTAGGACCATATTGCACTGGGAAGCATAAACCAAAAATTGAATAAACACTGCCAGATTTTCCTAATTTAATCTCAGAGAATTCCATTAGCATTTACCAGGTGGCGAAACAGAGTGAAACTAGAACAAAATTTTTAGGGGAAAACAGAAAAGGACCAAATGGAGAAAAGCAGAAAAATCTCAGATTCATACAAACGTTTGAAGGCAGAGGAAATTCCAATGGCTTGCAAGAAGTTGCATCAAAGATACGGAAGCAAACACAAGTCAATGCAGTGTTGCATTGGAGGGGATTTCTTACTGTTCAAGAGGCTTTCCTGCCCAGAACCTGGATTATTATTCTGCAAGTAGGATCCTTGACCACATGTAGATGTCATAACTAAATTTACAGCCAGGGGAGCCTCCAAGGACCAAGCTCATAATAGCCTTCCAGTATCTGAAGGGGGCCTACAGAAAAGTGGCAGAGGGACTTTTTGCAAGGGCTTGTAGTGAGAGGACAAAGGGTAATGGATTAAAACTGGAAGAGGGGAGATTTAGGTTAGATATTAGGAAGAAATTATTTATTGTGAGGGTGATCAAACACTGGAAAAGGTTACCCAGGGAAGCTGTGGGTGGCTCCTCCCTGGAAATGTTCAAGGCCAGGTTGGATGAGCCTTTGAGCAACCTGGTCTAGTGAGAGGTGTCCCTGCCCATGCAGGAGGTTGAATCTAGATGATCTTTAAGGTCCCTTCCAACCCAAACCATTCTAGGCTTTCAGAGAAACCTGGTCATGTACGAAGTGGACTGGAATGGATGTTAGGCTAATTCTTTCTGTAGTAAAAATATTTAATATTATTAAAAGGTGGTGTTTTTATTTGTATCCTAACAAGGGCTGTACATAAGGGGTGTCATTCAGCTGA